CGCCAAAAACTGAGGTAAAATTGCGATTTTACTTGTGCCGGAGCATCCTTTTCGCACGAAATGAGGGTCGATCGCCAAAAACTGAGGAAAAATTGCAATTTTACTTGTCCTGGAGCAACCGTTTCGCACGAAATGAGGGTCGATGCGCAAAAACTGAGGTAAAATTGCGATTTTACTTGTGCCGGACTTGTCTGTGTGTAAAAGCGTCTGTGTATAAGAGTCTCTGTGTGTAAATGTGTTTGTGTGTAAAAGTGTTTGTGTGTAAAAGTGTTTGTGTGTAAAAGCGTCTGTGTGTAAAAGCTTCTGTGTGTAAAAGCGTCTGTGTGTAAAAGACTGTGTGCAAAAGCGTCTTGGTGTAAAAGCGTCTGTGTGTAAAAGCGTCTGTGTGTAAAAGTGTCTGTGTGTAAAAGCGTCTGTGTGTAAAAGCTCCTGTGTGTAAAAGCGTCTGTGTGTAAAAGCTTCTGTGTGTAAAAGCGTCTGTGTGTAAAAGCTTCTGTGTGTAAAAGCTTTTGTGTGTACAAGCGTCTGTGTGTAAAAGGGTCTGTGTGTGAAAGTGTCTGTCTGTAAAAGCTTCTGTGTGTGAAAGCTTTTGTGTGTAAAAGCTTCTGTGTGTAAAAGCTTCTGTGTGTAAAAGTGTTTGCGATGCAAACTATTGTCTTGCACTTCTGCTATTTTGTCTTAATATATTGTTTCTAATATGGTGTCTCCCATACTAACAAGAGAAGACCCTGCTCCTCTACGCTCTCGGGCCATCCGTCGTCTAGTTTTTGTATGCAATGCTGCAAGGATGTATGTTTGCTGGTAAGATCTTGTAAGTATTCGGATGTGATTCACATTGAAATACATTGTTGTTGCTCCTCGGTATTCACATGACTGATGCTTCAGTTTTCTCACTTTCGTGAGGGGCGGTCGCTGGCCAGACTGTAGAAAAAGCAAAGGATGGATTTATCCAGGCTGCTGTGTGATGACAGACGAGGCAATACAACAAGTGGCGACCAGACATGAGCTCTTTGCAGTCCCGCTGAAATGGCGGCATGACAGGCAGCAATGGTGGGCATGGTGCCTGTACAGTTCCAAAGCAAAGTGCAACAATTTGGAAAGTTTCATTCCACATGTCCCTAACGTTTGACTTTCATATAGACCAGACGCACTGCATGTGTGGAAAACTGTGCGCCTGAGTAAGGAACAGGTTCTGACCCAAGCCTGGTGTTGCAGTAAGTTTGTGATGTAGCGGGAGATGTCGAGGGGATTTGTTGATTTGAGAGAAGTTCAAATACCATGCCACTTGATTGCTCTATGAATGCGATTCCTGTGCTAATTTGTTGGAAACCTTTTGTTGGTGAGCTACTCTTCAGATCGAATGGTGAAAAATCCAATTCAATAGGATCGACCCCGACCGTAGATTTCTGAATTGACTGATCAATGTCTGGTCACAGTCCATTCTGGGGTCAGGCGACGCAGCTCGACTGGAGGCAACAGAGCGGCCAAGATGTCAGGCCCCTACGAGGGTCCCGAGTCGGGTGTTTGAACTCGGTTGTCTGCGTGGAATGTTTGACTCTGTTTGATTGTTAAGTATTGAGAAGTTTTTTTTTCAAGGTTACCAGGATTGATCAGAATTGTAAGGATTGAAACAACAAAATGCTAGTGACTGTGCAAGACCAGGGCGCTTTTTGGGCAACGTGTGCTTTGAACCATCATTTTTGGCTTCGTCTGCGCAACCGTAGCATACCGTAGCCATGGCTACCCGATGGCTGCTGAGTGGATTTGTAGGTTTCTTCATTGGTTTCGGGTTTCCATGGATCCGTACCTGTCGCCCGTTTATGTCAGATGATCAAGCATCCACCCACGTCGTGCCTGACCAGTCACGCTTGCAAGAAGAGGATCAAGCATCCACCCACGTCGTGCCTGACGAGCCACGCTTGCAAGAAAAGACAGTGCCCGAAGTGGGCCTGCACTACGAGGGGTTGCAATTGTATTCTCAACCAGCTAGCCCGGATGAAGTTTGGAAGAGTTTAAAAAAGTTGTCGAAGGATTCACAAATCCAGCTTAAGCACTACCCGGGTTTTCTTGGACCTTATAAGGCTTATGCGGACATGTCAGGGCTTGAATTTTCCTTGTTGTATCTGAGCGGCTTGAAAGAAACAGACTCTTTGCTTGACATTGGCTGCGGTGCACTGCGTTTGGGGCGGGTGGTCTTGCCATACCTATTGCCTGGGAAATACCATTGCATTGAGCCAAACAGCTGGCTTGTCCGAGAGGCCCTTCATTATGAAATTGGGGAACAGATCTTGTGGCTGAAGCAACCCAAATTTGCTTTCAATGACAAATTCCAAGCACCACTGGCAGACTCGACTTTCAACTTTTTGATTGCGCAATCCATTTTCTCTCACACTGGCCTGGACATGTTTGAAGGTGCAATGAAGAAGATTAAAGGCTACATGACTGATGCTTCAGTTTTCTCACTTTCGTGAGGGGCGGTCGCTGGCCAGACTGTAGAATAAGCAAAGGATGGATTTATCCAGGTTGCTGTGTGATGACAGACGAGGCAATACAACAAGTGGCGACCAGACATGAGCTCTTTGCAGTCCCGCTGAAATGGCGGCATGACAGGCAGCAATGGTGGGCATGGCGCCTGTACAGTTCCAAAGCAAAGTGCAACAATTTGGAAAGTATCATTCCACATGTCCCTAACGTTTGACTTTCATATAGACCAGACGCACTGCATGTGTGGAAAACTGTGCGCCTGAGTAAGGAACAGGTTCTGACCCAAGCCTGGTGTTGCAGTAAGTTTGGGATGTAGCGGGAAATGCGACTGTCGTTTTAAAGTTTTAACGACTCAGTATTTTTTCAGCAGATGTGAACTGACTCGGTCCAGTCAGCTTCAGTCGAATGTTCCTGCCTTTATCTGTAACAGGCCTGCACACATACACATAGAGCCATAGAGTCTCTATGTAATTATATACCTTGTTGCTATCTACTTTTTCCCGAGAGCGCCTGCGAAGGGTTCTTCGTAAAAAAGCAGCCGTTATATACATCTTCACACCCTCACATTTGCTGATCTACATCTTCACACCTTCACACCTGCTGATCTACATCTTCACACTCTCACATCTGCTGATCTACATCTTCACACCTTCACATCTGCTGATCTGCATCTTCACACCTTCACATCTGCTGATCTACATCTTCGCACCCTCGCACCTGCTGATCTACATCTTCATACCCTCACATCTGCTGATCTACATCTTCACACCCTCACACCTGCTGATCTACATCTTCCCACCTGCACATCTGCAGATCTACATCTTCACACCCTCACATCTGCAGATCTACATCTTCACACCTTCACATCTGCAGATCTACATCTTCACACCTTCACATCTGCAGATCTACATCTTCACACCTTCACATCTGCAGATCTCCTCTCGCTCTTCTTTCTATCTCTCTCTTAAGGCGGGGGCGGTGCTGCCGGAGCGCCACGAAACGCAACCCTTTCGCATGAAATGGACGTTGGACGTCAAAAACTGAGGTAAAATTGCGATTTTAGTTAGTCGAGCGCAACCCTTTCGCACGAAATGGACGTTGGACGTCAAAAACCGAGGTAAAATTGCGGTTTTAGTTAGTCGCGCGCAACTTTCGTGCGACGTTGGACGTCAAAAACTGAGGTAAAATGCGATTTTGAGGTGTCACGGGCAACCCTTTCGCACGAAATGGACGTTGGACGTCAAAAACTGAGGAAAAATTGCGATTTTACTTTGTCCATCGCGACCCTTTCGCGCGAAATGGACGTTGAACGTCAAAAACTGAGGAAAAATTGCGATTTCACGGGTCCGGTCTCTGTGTGTAAAAGCTTCTGTGTGGAAAAGCGTCTTGGTGTAAAAGCTTCTGCGTGTAAATGTGTCTGTGTGTAAAAACGTCTGTGTGTAAAAGCGTCTCTGTATAAAAGCGTCTCTGTATAAAAGCGTCGCGTTTCTTCACATCCACGGAATGATGGTGCCGAGCTTTTTCCGCAATGTGTGTGGGAATTACCATAGTAAAATGAGATAACACATGTCATTCGCAGACTCATGGTACCGAGCCTCCTGTGCACTCTTGTTGCTCACATTATATTTCTCCATGTTTTCTTTCTATCTCCCTTTCCTTCTCTCTCTCTCTCTCCTCCCTCTTTCTCTCTGTGGTTGCAAGACACGTGTCATCTGATGCCCTTTACCAAGTATCCTCTTCTTAATCAATCTTACTTTTTCACACCATATCCTTCCATAGCTCATTTAAAATTCACCAACTATTCACCGACTATCTTTTACGACTACCATCATCAGAGCTGCTTGAAAAACATCTTTTTCGCTCTCGGGCCAACCGTCGTCTAGTTCTCTCCCAGCAATCCAGATTCCAGATTCAGAGTGGTTTCAAACAGACAGTCTTTTGAAGGGAGCTTCGGTGTATAGGATGAAAGAGACAGGTGGACTTGAAGAGTTCTTGGATGACACACTTCAGCTGTCCACCACTGTTTTAGTGGAAGCAGATACCAAATTTGAATAAATCTGAGTGTTCCACACAACTTCACCAAGTTCCTCTCGGTGCCTTCCAATATTTTCCAAGGTGTTCAGTGGACATTGCCCAGCTGTATCCTGAGCAGACAGAATGGGAGTGGTTAGCTCAGAGATCGCTGCTGTCACAACATCTCACAAGCAAGTTGCCGGACCAGCTCCTCGCACCACAAACTGTCATAAACCATACCTGTGTCATGCCATTTATATTCCGGCGTACTGTTCCAAAAGGTCATCCAAGTTCTTATTCAGAACTTCGGACTTCATCATTTCTGCTTCGAGGTTTTGCTCTTTGGATTGTTAGCTGAGGTGCAAGAGATTTGCCCCGATGTCCATTCACCCTTTGGGGTGTTTCTTCCAATCTTGGAGGTGCGAGAGCAAAACAGGACTTCTTCAAACCACAACACTTTGATTCTTTTCTTGTCAGATTTGTCAGGTTGACCCTCTTGTTGCTGTGCTTTGCTGTGCTTTCAGTCGGATCCCAAGCTATTTGTGGACTCACACCAGTCAAATCTCTAACCAACAAACCACCAAGTATGCTATGAAATAATTGGCCACTAAATGATCTTAAAGAATGATGGCAAGATATTCATATATATTCATGAGTATTGGCAGTGAAATGGAGAAATGTTTGAATGTTTCAATCGGTGTGCATAGCAAAGGGAGGTTTTGCTGATGGATTCAAGGACCGGGACATTTTGGAGCCAGATCTCAATAACAGCAACCTCAGCAATCTGGAGTTTGGCAGTGGAGATGATGGACAAAGCCGAGAACATGTCCGCAATGGCAAATATGACGGAGTGGAACGGTTCTTTGCTGAACATGGAGACTGAAGAAAGTGGAGAAAGTGGAGAAAGTGGAGAAAGTGGAGAAAGTGGAGAAAGTGGCAACGACACGATGAATGACACTGACAATAAGTCGTCAATGCATGGCCATGGCGCTGATGCCCGAACGGGCAACATGGCTTTGGAGCACTTGGATCAGTATGACAACGAGTCTGTCAATGACTCTGAGAACGACCCTGCCAAGTGTCACCACAAGTTTTCATTCCAAAGGCAAAGAACATCTTCAAACTGATTGTTCCAGCCATAGAATGAGTCCTGTTATAGCATGTCATGATATGGCATTTCTGTTACTCATGTTTCTTGATGATAGAGTCTTTTCCATGTCCTTCTGAGTGTAGTGAGCAGCTTTGCTGGTCCTTGGTGCTGATTGTCTGATTGTAGAATGTCATTCCGAGAGGCTAAGTCGGCTAAGTTCACCCATTCGAAGTGGGAAGTGGGGTCTGGCAAGTAGTGGCTGCAGTAGGGTGTTCGAATCTCGGAGTGTGGGTGAGGGACAGGGGTGGCGTGGGACTGTCCGATTCCTTGTCCTGTGCTGTGGAGGCAGTCTTTCTGGTTGTTGTTTGTGTGTTTGTTCCACGGAAATTCCAGGTGTGATGTCTATTAGACTATAATTCATGACGCCTCTTCCCAATTCTTCATGTCCTGACAAATGTCATGACGGATTGTCATGTTGGTCCGACATACCAAGAGTGTTGTTGCATCTGTGAAACCCAGATTTAAGCCAGATGCCATGCATGCCTCTGGTGAATTCTTCTTTCGTTGCTAGAGTTATGAGTCCAACAACACAGAGAATATAGGGTTTGACAAAAAAAATAAAAAAAAACAAAACCAGAGCAAACAAAAACAACAAACTAGAAAACCAAAACCAAGGAAAAAACAAGAAAAAACATAAAACAAAGACAAAGAAAAAAATCAAAAACTGCGGAAAATGCAGGTTTTGTTTTTTTTGTTTTTTTTTTGTTTGTTTTTCTTGTTTTTTTTGTTTCTTCTGGTGATTCTTCCTGTCGATTTTTTTTTTGGTGATTCTGTTTTTGTTTTTGTTTTTTATATTTTTTGCTTAAATCCACTTTCTCTGTTCTACACGGGGTCATAATGCTAGTGATACTAGGGACCCATTGCAAAGATTGCTGATTTGTTTTTCCGTTGGGGTCACGGAAGTACCCTAGGGATTTCAAGAAAAGTGCCGGTGCGGCAGCGCGGCGCCGACAAACGCTTTTGACACTCTTGCAGCGACAGACGACAGACCGGCGCATTTAGAGCATTCGCACAAGGACGCAAGTGTCTGGAACAACCGATTGGTGGCCTAATTAGTTCTTCACTGGATGTTAACATCCAAAGGAATCCAAAATATTTTTGACACAATGCACTCCTGCATCCCTGCAATGCTTGAATTTTGGCACCAGGAAGCAGTCAGCGTCCCAACAAAATGAAAAAAACATGGTCAGATTCCTACATGTGATGAATGGACCATTGTTTGACCTATACTTTCAAATCCACAACCAGGTACGTAGACCCCACCATATGAGCACAGCCAGAATTACCACATGAACAGGTCATTAGAGCCCACGGCTACCCAAAGATTACAGTAATTTCCAGAACATCCTCGTGCTTTTCAGTGAGCCAACGCTTGTCGAGATGAGAGCTTGATGCCATCTGCCACTTGTTTGAATTGAGGACCTTGGGAGTGTATCTTTGGGGAGCTGATGACTTGAACATGTTGGATTGACAGATTGACCATGTTGAAATCTTCTTGGATTTAAATGATTTGGCGTTTCAAACTGATGTCAAAGGCCTGAGATGAAAGGCTTAGCATCCATTTGTGACACTTGCTGTTGGTTGCTGATCTAATTTTCGGGGTCAAGCTGCCCATTGACCCGTGTTGAGTGCTTCAGACATTTTTCATGACATAGAAGACGATCATGTTCACCACGCACCTGTTCATCACCATCGCCAATGCTGCTCAATTATAGCTCACAGTTTCTCTGCTTCGAGCATCGCATTCCTCATTCTCATTCCATAGATACATAGTCTGTACCGCACCGCTTGCGCAATGGGCTTGTCGCGATACATCGAATGTTTGGTTCTTACTTGCCTCGGATGGGCTCCTCTCCTTGCTGTGGTGACCTACAAGCACGCCTGCAGCAAGCCATGCTATTACATTCATCATGTTTGGACTGAAACATTGCCCGAAACCACTGCAGCAAAATTACAACTCAAAAACTCAAGTTTTCTGTCGAGGTCTCCAGCCCTTATATCTGTTGAGAATGGTGGCAACTTCTCGGCTCTACATCCCCAAGGCACTTGGTGGGGGCTCATGCAAACCTATCCGCCTATCCTCGATTCGATTTGGTCAGCATCTGATACCAAAGAGTTTCCCAACCCGGCGCACGTCAACGAGCTTGTATGCGAAACAGACAAGGTCCGGAAGCAGATTGAGGATAATCGGGACAAGGGCTGTGCCATTGCTGTCTACCTTTTTGTCCTCGTCATGTGGACTCTGATGAAACTTGCCCATGACTGGGCTTTGCTGGCAGATGTAGCAGAAGACTTTACACTACCGATCGACTGGCTTTCGTGGGCTTTTCACTTGCAGGAATCCTTGGTAGCCATTCGCTGGGCCGCTGCTGCGACCGGTGTTTTTGTCTCCAGAGTGCCTGAAGGTAATGGTGCTTGCTATTACCAACTGCAGCCTTTCGCAACTTTGACGGCCTTGGGTGCGGCGCTTTTGCTGCTATACTTTAGTCATGTGAAGATGAACAACTTGGTCCTATCCCTTGTGAACTACTATTGCAAAATATTCAGCGTGCCATACGGGGCAGTTAAGGGCATAGCTGCGTCGCAGCCTTTGCTGACCAAAGGATTGCATGGAGATTCCGTGTTCTACCTGCACCTGCGACACATCAGCAGCTTGAATGTCGAAACCGGAAGCGGCTGTGCATTTTCGTCAGAAGTCTTTATTGGTTTTGTTTGTTGTCGTATGGGCGGCTAACTGTTCCGTTCGACTTCTTTGGGAACCTCTTCCTGCGAGTGACAGAACTGGCTGTCAGCCAAGCTTGGTCTTTGGCCCCCGTGGTGTTCCTCAAACTTGCTACTCTGCTGGCAGCTGCTGCGACTCTGGTCATTGGTGGCGCTTTGGCAGCTTCTGTGCTCGTTACTGTGATACAGGAGGCTCTTGGAGACTGGCGCAGTCTTCGGGCCATTGACAAGCTCACAGTATCTGCTCAACTTCTCCTTTCTACTGCATTGCTTCTGTTGGCGTTGAGCACGTCTGGTGGGGCCTGGAACATAACTCAGGCAGTTGTTTTTCATCGAGGAGCTGATGGCTTGCAGCAGCATTGGGAATGGTACCATCATGGCAAAGCAATAATGTACTATGTTTTTTTTCTTGCATTCGGTATGGTAGCCGATGAGTATGTAGACGTGAGACGGCAAAAAAACACGACGCATAGACGGCAAAAAAACACGACGCATATCTAGCAGCTGTGTGGCTTTCAGGGTGCTTGTTCGGTTTCGTGTGGTCTGTCTCCATTCTAGAGCCTCCACTTCCTCTTGAAATTGTCAAGCCAAGGGCAACTTTTGCGTTTGCCCATGGTTGCCCGGGCCTCAGCACATCCTGATCAGCCGAAGAGCTACGCAAGCGGTGCTTGTGGACCTGAACTTCCGTATGCGCTGACTTTTTTGTATGCAATGCTGCAAGGATGTATGTTTGCTGGTAAGATCTTGTAAGTATTCGGATGTGATTCACATTGAAATACATTGTTGTTGCTCCTCGGTATTCACATGACTGATGCTTCAGTTTTCTCACTTTCGTGAGGGGCGGTCGCTGGCCAGACTGTACAGTAGAAAAAGCAAAGGATGGATTTATCCAGGTTGCTGTGTGATGACAGACGAGGCAATACAACAAGTGGCGACCAGACATGAGCTCTTTGCAGTCCCGCTGAAATGGCGGCATGACAGGCAGCAATGGTGGGCATGGTGCCTGTACAGTTCCAAAGCAAAGTGCAACAATTTGGAAAGTATCATTCCACATGTCCCTAACGTTTGACTTTCATATAGACCAGACGCACTGCATGTGTGGAAAACTGTGCGCCTGAGGAAGGAACAGGTTCTGACCCAAGCCTGGTGTTGCAGTAAGTTTGTGATGTAGCGGGAGATGTCGAGGGGATTTGTTGATTTGAGAGAAGTTCAAATACCATGCCACTTCATTGCTCTATAAATGCGATTCTTGTGCCAATTTGTTGGAAACCTTTTGTTGGTGAGCTACTCTTCAGATCGAATGGTGAAAAATCCAATTCAATAGGATCGACCCCGACCGTAGATTTCTGAATTGGCTGATCAATGTCTGGTCACAGTCCATTCTGGGGTCAGGCGACGCAGCTCGACTGGAGGCAACAGAGCGGCCAAGAATGTCAGGCACGATACGAAAGTCCCGAGTCGGTGTTTGAACTCGGTTGTCTGCGTGGAATGTTTGATTCTGTTTGATTGTTAAGTATTGTTGAGTTGCCTTCGGTTGCCTTGAAAGCTGCCATTCGGCTGTTTGATTACGGTAAAGGTCCAGATCGCAGGGCGCCTTTGGTCCAAGTCTGACAAATCTTTGCCACATGGTTCAGAAGTTTTTTCCCCACATTGACGTGTGGGGTTTTTGTTTTTAGTGCTGTATCCGCTCCTTCCTCCTTCCTTCCTCCCGCCTGTCCTCCCATCCTCCCACACACAATATCAGCATCAAGCATCACAGCCAATACATCACTCACACACACACACACCACTCACACACACACACATCACTCACACACACACACATCCACACACACACACGTCATCACTCACACACACACACATCACTCACACACACACACATCCCACACACAATATCATCAAGCATCACATCCAATACATAAGTCACACACATTCTCTCATCATTCGGGGTCGGATGTACGCCCCGGTGTCCCTCCGGTGTCCCTCCGGTGTCCCTCCGGTCTTTTGCGTGGCAGGCGTGAGACTTGGTGCACTGCAAAGGGGTCGGATGTACGCCCCGGGGTGTTTCTCCGGTGTCCCTCCGGTGTCCCTCCGGTGTCCCTCCGGTGTCCCTCCGGTGTCCCTCCGGTGTCCCTCCGGTGTCCCTCCGGTGTCCCTCCGGTGTCCCTCCGGTGTCCCTTGGTCTCCGCCGCTCTGCCGGTGGCTTTTGCGTGGCAGGCGCGGGACTTGGTGCACTGCATGTATCAACTCAGCTCATTGAGATTGATTGCTTGTGAGCTTCTCATGGCTTGTCTATTCATTGTGTCTGCTCAGGTCATGATGCTGGTCTATGGCACTTGGACAACCGATATGCCTAGAAGAAAAAATCTGCAAAGCGACGGGAGGATTATATATACATATGAACTGAAACATACATCATCGGATTATATCACCATATCACCATATGACCATACACATGCACAACCACGCACTCACGTACACATACATATATGTACACAGACACGCACAACATGAACACAGCACATATACATCATCACAACATCACATACCAAAACATCACTTGACGCATCATAACTTCACGTCACATGCAACAAGATCAGTATATTTACGTTTGCATACATTTACATTACTACCACCCAACCTCGCATCACACGAAAATAATATCACTTCACACACACATAGGTATAGTATAGCATCCGCATGTACATCACATATATTACAAACTGCCTCTTACACCCGGTACACATATCGTTAACACACTACCAAAGTGACACACCTGTACATGCACATACATACATACACACAAACTGACCCACCATCACCCCTCCATCACTCTCATACTTCCTCTTCCCTTGTTGCTTTTCTATGCTCAGTCTAAGTCTGGTGAAGTTGTTAACATGTGGGGTTATCCGGTCCCATAATTTTCAAGGTTACCAGGATTGATCAGAATTGCAAGGATTGAAACGACAAAATGCTGGTGACTCTGCAAGACCAGGGCGCTTTTTGGGCAACGTGTGCTTTGAACCTTCATTTTTGGCTGCATCTGCGCATCCGTAGCATACAGTAGCCATGGCTTCCCGATGGCTGCTGAGTGGATTTGTAGGTTTCTTCATTGGTTTCGGGTTTCCATGGATCCGTACCTGTCGCCCGTTTATGTCAGATGATCAAGCATCCACCCACGTCGTGGAAAAAGTTGTCGAAGGGGTCACAAATCCAGCTTAAGCACTACCGGGGTTTTGTTGGACCTTATAAGGCTTATGCGGACATGTCAGGGCTTGAATTTTCCTTGTTGTATCTGAGCGGCTTGAAAGAAACAGACTCTTTGCTTGACATTGGCTGCGGTGCACTGCGTTTGGGGCGGGTGGTCTTGCCATACCTATTGCCTGGGAAATACCATTGCATTGAGCCAAACAGCTGGCTTGTCCGAGAGGCCCTTCATTATGAAATTGGGGAACAGATCTTGTGGCTGAAGCAACCCAAATTTGCTTTCAATGACAAATTCCAAGCACCACTGGCAGACTCGACTTTCAACTTTTTGATTGCGCAATCCATTTTCTCTCACACTGGCCTGGACATGTTTGAAGGTGCAATGAAGAAGATTAAAGGCCACATGACTGATGCTTCAGTTTTCTTGCTCACTTTCGTGAGGGGCGGTCGCTGGCCAAACTGTAGAAACAGCAAAGGATGGCTTTATCCAGGTTGCTGTGTGATGACAGACGAGGCAATACAACAAGTGGCGACCAGACATGAGCTCTTTGCAGTCCCGCTGAAATGGCGGCATGACAGGCAGCAATGGTGGGCATGGTGCCTGTACAATTCCAAAGCAAAGTGCAGCAATTTGGAAAGTATCATTCCACATGTCCCTCACGTTTGACTTTTATATAGACCAGACGCACTGCGTGTGTGGAAAACTGTGCGCCTGAGGAAGGAACAGGTTCTGACCCAAGCCTGGTGTTCAGTAAGTTTGGGATGTAGCGGGAGATGTCGAGGGGATTTGCTGATTTGAGAGAAGTTCAAATACCATGCCACTTCATTGCTCTATAAATGCGATTCTTGTGCCAATTTGTTGGAAACCTTTTGTTGGTGAGCTACTCTTCAGATCGAATGGTGAAAAATCCAATTCAATAGGATCGACCCCGACCGTAGATTTCTGAATTGACTGATCTATGTCTGGTCATAGTCCATTCTGGGGTCAGGCGACGCAGCTCGACTGGAGGCAACAGAGCGGCCAAGATGTCAGGCACGATACGAAGAGTCGGTGTTTGAACTCGGTTGTCTGCGTGGAATGTTTGATTCTGTTTGATTGTTAAGTATTGTTGAGTTGCCTTCGATTGCCTTGAAAGCTGCCATTCGGCTGTTTGATTGCGGTAAAGGTCCAGATCGCAGGGCGCCTTTGGTCCAAGTCTGACAAATATATCAAATATGTCACACAGCTTTGCCGGCTTTCGCCATATGGTTCAGAAGATTCGGCCCGAATGCGTAGCAAGGGTTCCCGTTTCACTCTGGGGGTCTGGGGGTCCCGTTCACAACCGTCCGCAACCGTCCGCGCGATTGCTATATGGCCGTGCCTATGGTAAGTTCTGCAGAGTGGGTCATTTTTGGAGGTTTCAAACGGTTCGTTGCTTCGTTTTGCGTGGCAGGCGTGGCACTTTGTGACATTCAGACGTGTTTTGTAACGTGTCGAAAGTCGTTTTGTGTGGCAAGCGCAATACTTTTGCGACGTTTTCAGAAGATGCGTGGCATTTTTCGTGGCAGGCGCAGCACTTTGGACGTGTCCATCGTCATTTTGCGTGGGAGGCGCAGCACTTGAGACGTGTCGTGTCAAGTGTTTTTTGCAAATCGCATTGGCAGGGCTGCGTCAAGTGGCGACAAGGTGCAAATTCCGTGGCAGGCGTGGCATTTTGTGAGATGTGCTGAAAATTGACGGAAGCCTCGCACGAAACATCGATTTTGAGGTTGCAAAATTTAGAGGTTCCTAAGAAAACTCGTAGGAAAACGTCGATTTTGAAGCTACAAAGACTGAAAATTGGAGGAAGTCTCATACGAAATGCTGTTTTTTCTGCATTCACGTGTCTCGTCTCGAGTCGCTGGTTTTCCTGTGGCATCGCCGTGTCTATGGGGGAAGCTGCAAAACATCTCTTTTTCGAAGGTTTCCAAGCAGGTTGTCATGTCGTTTTGCGTGGCAGGCGTCGCACTTTGCGACATTCCAACCTGTTTGATAACGTGTCGAAATTGTCAAAATTGGAGGAAGTCTCGTACAAAATGCTCGTTTGTACACTCCACACTTTGCACTTTGCACTTTACACTCCTCACTCCTCACTCGAGACTTTACACTCCACACTCCACACTTTACACTCCACACTCCACACTCTACACTTTACACTCTACACTTTACACTCTACACTCCACACCCCACACTCTACAATTTACAAACTCCACACTCCTCACTCCACACTTTACACTCCGCACTCCTCACTCTACACTTTACACTCTACACTTTACACTCTACACTTCACACTCTACACTCCACACTTGACATTTTACACTCCAGGCTTTACACTTTACACTCCTCACTCCACACTTTACACTCCACACTCCTCACTTTACACTCCACACTCCTCACTTTACACTCCACACTCCACACTTCTCACTTTACACTCCGCACTCCACACTCTACACTTTCCATTCCACACTCCACACTCCACACGTTACACTCCACATTCCACAATTTACACTTTAGACTCCTGACTCCACACTCCACACTCCTCACTTTACACTCCACACTCCTCACTTTACACTCCACACTCCACACTTCTCACTTTACACTCCGCACTCCACACTCTACACTTTCCATTCCACATTCCACACTCTACACTTTACACTCTACACTCCACACTCTACACTTTACACGCTCCACACTCCTCACTCCAAACTTTACACTCCACACTCCACACTCCTCACTTTACACTCCACACTCCACACTCCACACTCTACACTTTACACTCCGCACTCCACACTTTACCCTCCACACTCCACACTCCACACTTTACACTTTCCACTCCACACTTTACACTCCACACTTTACACTTTACACTCCTCACTCCACACTCTACACTTTACACTCTACACTCCACACTCTACACTTTACACTCTACACTTTACACTCTACACTCCACACTCTACACTTTACACGCTCCACACTCCTCACTCTAGACTTTACACTCGACACTCTACACTTTACACTCCACACTCCACACTCTACACTCCACACGCCACACTTTACACTCCTCACTCCACAATTTACACTTTAGACTCCTGACTCCACACTCCACACTCCACACTTTACACTCCACACTTTACACTTTGCACTTTGCACTCCTCACTCCACACTTTACACTGCACACTCTACACTTTACACTCCACACCCTACACTCCACACTACACACTGCAGACTGGTAACAGGGGAACTATGCACAAGACTGTTCAAATAAACTATTGCAGAAAAGTGTTGTGCGTGATTGCATATCCATGTGTTTTGACATCTGTACCATTAACATACATGAAAGCATTCGGGTTCGTGGGCTGCATCTTGTTTTTTCAAGGTTACCAGGATTGATCAGAATTGCAAGGATTGAAACAACAAAATGCTGGTGACTCTGCAAGACCAGGGCGCTTTTTGGGCAACGTGTGCTTTGAACCATCATTTTTGGCTGCATCTGCGCATCCGTAGCATACAGTAGCCATGGCTTCCCGATGGCTGCTGAGTGGATTTGTAGGTTTCTTCATTGGTTTCGGGTTTCCATGGATCCGTACCTGTCGCCCGTTTATGTCAGATGATCAAGCATCCACCCACGTCGTGCCTGACCAGTCACGCTTGCAAGAAGAGCGCTTGCAAGAAGAGGATCAAACATACACCCAGGTCGTGCCTGACGAGCCACGCTTGCAAGAAAAGACAGTGCCCGAAGAGGGCCAGGCACAGCCTTCACGGTTGCACTACGAGGGGTTGCAATTGTATTCTCAACCAGCTAGCCCGGATGATGTTTGGAAGAGTTTAAAAGAATTGTCCAAGGGGCCACAAATCAACCTTAAGCACTACCAGGGTTTTGTTGGACCTTATAATGCTTATGCGGACATGTCAGGGCTTGAATTTTCCTTGTTGTATCTGAGCGGCTTGAAAGAAACGGACTCCCTGCTTGACATTGGCTGCGGTGCACTGCGTTTGGGGCGGGTGGTCTTGCCATACCTATTGCCTGGGAAATACCATTGCATTGAGCCAAACAGCTGGCTTGTCCGAGAGGCCCTTCATTATGAAATTGGGGAACAGATCTTGTGGCTGAAGCAACCCAAATTTGCTTTCAATGACAAATTCCAAGCACCACTGGCAGACTCGACTTTCAACTTTTTGATTGCGCAATCCATTTTCTCTCACACTGGCCTGGATATGTTTGAAGGTGCAATGAAGAAGATTAAAGGCCACATGACTGATGCTTCAGTTTTCTTGATCACTTTCGTGAGGGTCGGCAACTGGCCAGACTGTACAACAAGCGAAGGATGGCTTTATCCAGGTTGCTGTGTGATGACAGACGAGGCAATACAACAAGTAGCAACCAGACATGAGCTCTTTGCAGTCCCGCTGAAATGGCGGCATGACAGGCAGCAATGGTGGGCATGGTGCCTGTACAGTTCCAAAGCAAAGTGCAACAATTTGGAAAGTATCATTCCACATGTCCCTCACGTTTGACTTTCATATGGACCAGACGCACTGCGTGTGTGGAAAACTGTGCGCATGAGGAAGAAAAGGTTCTGATCCAAACCTGGTGTTTGAGTAAGTTTGGGATGTAGCGGGAGATGCGACTGTCGTTTTAACGACTGACTAAGTATTTTTTCAGTGGATGTGAATTGACTCCAGTCAGCTTCAACCGAATGTTGCTGCCTCTATCTGCAACAGGCCTGCGCACACCCACATAGAGTCATAGAGTCTCTATGCAAATACAGGGTGCTAAATTATATACTTTTTCTGTCCCAACAATCCAGATTCAGAGTGTTTCAAGCAGACAGTCTTTTGAAAGGAACTTAGGTGTTAGGATGAAAGAGGCAAAGGGTGGACTCGCAGAGTTTTTGGATGACACAATTCAGCTATCTACCATAGTTTTATTGATTTTATTGGAAGCAGATACCAAATTTGAGCGTTTCACATTGTTCACCAAGTTCCTCTCGGTGCCTTCCAATATTTTCCAAGGTGTTCAGTGGACATTGCCCAGCTGTATCCTGAGCAGACAGAATGAGAGTGGTTAGCTCAGAGATCGCTGCTGTCACAACATCTCACAAGCACGTTGCCGGACCAGCTCCTCGCACCACAAACTGTCATAAACCATACCTGTGTCATGCCATTTATATTCCGGCGTACTGTTCCAAAAGGTCATCCAAGTTCTTATTCAGAACTTCGGACTTCATCATTTCTGCTTCGAGGTTTTGCTCTTTGGATTGTTAGCTGAGGTGCAAGAGATTTGCCCCGATGTCCATTCACCCTTTGGGGTGTTTCTTCCAATCTTAGAGGTGCGAGAGCAAAACAGGACTTCTTCAAACCACAACACTTTGATTCTTTTCTTGTCAGGTTGACCCTATTCACCCTCTTGTTGCTGTGCTTTGCTGTGCTTTCAGTCGGATCCCAAGCTATTTGTGGACTCACACCAGTCAAATCGCTAACCAGCAAACCACCAAGTATGCTATGAAATAATTGGCCACTAAATAATCTTAAAGAATGGCAAGATATTCATGAGCAATGGCAGTGAAATGGAGAAATGTTTGAATATTTCAACCGGTGTGCATAGCAAAGGGAGGTTTTGCTGATGGATTCAAGGACCGGGACATTTTGGAGCCAGATCTCAATAACAGCAACCTCAGCAATCTGGAGTTTGGCAGTGGAGATGATGGACAAAGCCGAGAACATGTCCGCAATGGCAAATATGACGGAGTGGAACGGTTCTTTGCTGAACATGGAGACTGAAGAAAGTGGAGAAAGTGGAGAAAGTGGAGAAAGTGGCAACGACACGATGAATGACACTGACAATAAGTCGTCGATGCATGGCCATGGCGCCGATGCCGGAACGGGCAACATGGGCTTTGGAGCACTTGGATCAGTATGACAACGAGTCTGTCAATGACTCTGAGAACGACCCTGCCAAGTGTCACCGGCAAGTTTTCATTCCAAAGGCAAAGAACATCTTCAAACTGATTGTTCCAGCCATAGAACGAGTCCTGTACTGTTATTTTTGAGCTGACGCTCATCGTCGGCTCCGCCGGATTTCTCGACCCTCCATTTCATCGCAGTGTGGGCTTGAAAGCTTTTGGATGGGGACCTGCTTCAGAAATATATTCCTTATGTTTTTGAAAAAAGTTCATGGAATAGGAACTTTGTTGGAAATAGACGGCTTTTTTGGGGAGCAAGTGAGTTCCTGAAAGCTCCTGCCAAGGGTTTTTCCCGAAGAATTGCTGCCAATTTCAACTTGCTATATACTTCGTGTAAAGGCGCCTCTGTGCAAAGACTTCTCTGTGTAAAAGCTTTTGTGTGTAAAAGTTTCTGTGTGTAAAAACCACTTTGTGTAAAGACTTCTTTGTGTAAAAGCTTCTGTGTGTGAAAGCTTCTCTGTGTGAAAGCGCGTCTGTGTAAAGATTTCACTGTGTGTAAAAGCTTCCGTGTGTAAAAACTCTCTGTGTAAAGTGTAAAGGTTTCTCTGTGTAAGAGTTTCTGTGTGTAAACGCGTCTGTGTGTGAAAGCTATACATCTGTGTAAAGACTAAAGACTTCTTTGTGTAACAGCTTCTGTGTGCAAAAGTTCCTTAGAGTAAAGACTTCTCTGTGTAAAACCTTCTGTGTGTAAAAAGCTCCTTTGTGTAAGGACTTCTCTGTGTAAAAGCCCCTGTGTGTGTAAAAGCTTGCTGTGTGCAAATGCTTTTGTGTGTAAAAGCTCCTCTGTGTGAAGGCTTCTCTGTGTAAAAGCTTCTGTGTGCAAACGCGTCTGTGTGTAAAAACCCCTCTGTGTAAAGACTTCTTCGTGTAAAAACTTCTGTGTGTAAAAGCTCCTAGACGTTTGTGTGCAAAAGCTCCTTAGAGTAAAGACTTCGCTGTGTAAAACCTTCTGTGTGTAAAAAGCTCCTTTGTGTAAAGACTTCTCTGTGTAAAAGCCCCTGTGTGTGTAAAAGCTTCTGTGCGACTCCTCCATCCAGCTTCCTTTCGGGTCACGCTGTCGTCCAGTTTCAATCTGCAACATTGTTTCTTGTGGAAGAATGCAAAGAACAGGTGAAAGCATCGCGCGTTTAAAAATTGAACATAAACAGCGCACAAAGCGCTGTAATTTACAGCATTTTGCGCTGTCAGATGGCAAGACCCCGCGTAAATACCACAGTTTTAGACCCCGAAAGTGGCTAAAACACTGTTATTTACAGGGTTTCGTTCACGTCACGATCTTCGATTTTTTGAAAAACGATGAAAACCGCGTAAATACCAGCGTTTTTTGCGTTCATCAAGGGAAAAAATCGGTTCAAAAAGGGAAGAAAATGCTGTAATTTACAGGGGTTTAGCGCCGCCATGGGCAAAAAACTGCGTAAATAGCAGCGTTTCGGCGTTGCAAAGAAGGCGTTCTCATGGACATGCACATTGGCGACACGGGCGACCCATTGACAGCGTACATTGCCTTAACGCGTGTCCAAGACAGGCATGGTTTGTTTGTGTATAGACCCTTCCCTGCAGCACCGTTTCAAAAGGGCGCAGAAGTAGGGCGGGAATTGCTGTTGCGGTTCTGGGGTGGTGAAAAATTGGATTGGAGCGCGCTGCGAGCGAAATACCGAGACGAAAGACAATGCAAAGAATGTAATGATGAATCAAAGCCGGCTTCTGCATTCACGGCGGGTCGATGGAAACGTGCAGATGCGGGGAGAGTCTGCAAAGAATGCATTTGTCGGCACGCAGAGGCCCAGCAGCCATGGCAATGCATGGCCTGCACGGCCTGGAAACAGGAAGATGCATTCATGGCAAAACACGCAAGCCCACAAGCCACATTTTATCGTATTTGCACGACGTGCGAACAAACACAAAATGGTGTAGTGTCTGCAAGCCGCGCAAGGACGAACCAAAATTTTCTGCCGCGGCATGGCAACGGGCACGCAATGGCGGTAGGGTGTGTTTGGCTTGTTCGGGTAAAGCATGGGGCTGGTGGAGATGCACCGTATGCAAAGTAAAGCAAGCAGCGTGCGCTCTTGAATCATGGCTGGCGCAACATCGTTCTTGTAATGGTGACCAAGTCTGTAGCAACTGCTGGAAACGCCCCTTTCCCCGGGGAAGCATCAGCAAAGCGGTACAACGGGTAGCTGCAACGCAGGCCAAAGTAGCGGTGAGGGCAGCAGAAGAAAAAAAAGGCACGTGCCATTGCTGATGTCTCGGCTGCCATCGCGGAACGAAAACGGAATAGAGAACAGGAGAGCCTTCAAACGCAGGAAGAAGCGCCGAAGGCAAAACACCGCAGACAAGAGAACGGAACAGAAATGACCACAGAAGGGCCTGCAGATGTGCGTGGCAAACAGGAAGACAGCAACCGTACGGAGACGGCGACGCTGCCGACAGAGGGAGCAAGAGCCACGGAGAAAGGCAAGAGTTTCGAATACGTGTGTCCTCATTGCGATCAGTCTGTGACCAGCACTATACGCACAGACCAAGTCGATCACCGCCGCACATGCGGTCACCGTTTCAGAGTGAGGGAAGGACGCCTCTGTGCAAAAGCGTATGATTATGTGTGTCCCGCGTGCAATGGGCATGTGGCCAGTAACGTGGTGACAGGGCAAATAGACAACCGAACGGTCTGTGGGAACAAATTTTCTGTGAACGATGGCGTTGTTGACGAAAAAGGCTTGGTTTACCGGTGTCCATTTTGCAACGGAAGTTTGAGAAGCGATCAGGACCGGGCGAATCGACCATCGACCCGCGTGCGGCAACCAGTTTTATGTCACGGACGGTGCAGTCAGCAAGACAACACGGTGTCATGCGCACAGTTGCCCGGTGTGCTCATCTGTTGTTTGGTCATCGCAGTCATGTGGGCGCATTGCGGTCACGCATGACACGCCGTCGGGAAAACGATGCCAGAAGAAACATTGGCAAGTTCCCGACAAAAAGGCAAAGAAAAAAAGGAAATGAAATAGACAGACGATGCGCTTGCTGTAGAGGAACGGCAAGCGTGAACGCACAACAAGAGATGGCTGTGGCCAGAGTGACGGCAAACGTGAACGCACAACAAGAGATGGCTGTGGCCAGGGTGCCTGGTCGAAGCTGCCGCCGGGGATTTTAGGGCTTCCAAGCCTAGCAAACGGCAGGCTTGAACGCCCTAACAACAGAGGGCCATGGAGGCAAACGGCAGGCTTCAAGGCTCTAACAACAAATGCCTGTCGCCGCGTGCCTGGTCGAAGCTGCCGCGGGGGATGTTAGGATTTGAGCGTTGGCAAACGGAGGCTTGAACGCCCTAACAACAGAGGGCCAAGGAGGCAAACAGCAAGCTTCGCGGCTCTAACAACGAGTGCCTGGTCGAAGCTGCCGCGGGGGATGTTAGGATTTGAGCGTTGGCAAACGGAGGCTTGAACGCCCTAACAACAGAGGGCCATGGAGGCAATCGGCGGGTTTCAAGGCCCTAACAACAAATGCCTGTGGCCAGAGTGCCTGCTCGAAGCTGCCGCGGGGGATTTTAGGGGTTTGAGGGCTGGCAAGCGGCAGGCTTGAACGTCCTAACGACAGAGGGCCATGGAGGCAAACGGCA